TGGCAGCACATCCAGAGCCATGTTGCCGCATGATCAGAAGGGTGATGCTGCTGAACCAGCCCCCTTTCTCTGCTCTGCTCTGCTCCAGCAGTAATAAAGAAAGACATTATCACAGGACAACGGAAAGAGATAAACTATTATGTTACTCTTGTTTTCAGGACGCCGTATATGAAGCAACTCTAATGATATTGTGTTATTTATGAGGTTACAACATTCGATAGATTTGCCCATTTGCTAATAAAACCATTTATGTACTATTTATTCAAGTCTTATGATAATGTTAACAGCAATGGCTTAAAGCAGGGAAAATAAATTAATCACAGAAATAACAGTGTCCTGAGTCTGTTACAGCTTTAAAGCATTGAATACTCAAGAGCTTACTGCTTTGGTTTAGTAACTGCTTTAAGTGAAAAGGCTTTGATAAACTAACTGTACATGCCCAGCATCAAGCAGCAGACAGATCAAAATGAATCTGATTGACTGAGTTATGATTCCAAATGATGGCTGTGTCTGCTGGATGATGTATTTGCCGCATTGCATTTGATGTATTGATTTTATTTTAATGTGTTTACAGCCTCCTTATCTATTCCTGAAAAAAAACAAAGCTAATATAGAAAACTGTATGTGTAAGAGCAACAAATAACGACTGGCACTTAATTTTTTTTTTTTTTTCAAAAGTTCAAAATGAGTCTCCTGTTATGTTATGGTTCTGTTTTATTAGAGGTGAGGTATCTCACATTTTCTATTTCTTATATTAAGAGACTGAGGAAAGGCATAAAAAGCTTTCCTTGTCAAGAAAAAAAAAAAGACAGAACAAAGAAAACTGACCTCAGATTCTTGTGGTTATCAGTAGCTCATTATTGAATTTAAGTGCCCTTTGCTCTACTGTAAGAAAAAAAATAATTTGAAAGCAGTCGAAAGGTTAAAACCTATTTGCTTCTCTCCTCTTCCAGTTTCAGGTTTTCAAACTGTTTATCTTCTGACAAAATACAAAAATGAGGCTTTATTTATCCCATTACGTAATTTCTTTAAAAGCTTGCTTACATGAATGCTTACATACACTACAGCTGAATGTCTGTAAAACATCAACCATAACTAACTCAACACCACTAAAAATCAGACTGAATGCTGAACAGGAGTCATAATGTAAATACCAGATACGGAAACAACCGCCATCAATATAATGTGATTACTGGTCCACTCATAAACCAGCCTCTCAAAATATGGCTTTTAACGGGATGATAGCATATAAGTGATGGTTAAAAACTGGCAATATGGTGTGAAGAAGGCAGCCGCAGGAAACATTTATGATTCCTGACGTGGTCAAGCCTAAATACGAAGCCAGCTCAACACACTAATGTAAGCTGAAACACAGCAACTCACTTCCTGAGTAGTGCTAGTGAAATGAGAAAAACTCTTGTTAGCTTCACTGCCAGCCAACATTTTAAGCAGACATGGAGTCTACTGAGGACAAAATGGAAAATGATGTACAATTTTGTTATTACACTGTATGTAATTATGGCAATTTTAGTTGTAACTGAATGTAAACATCCTTTTAGGAGAGAACAGTCAAGAAGAAAACTTGCAGAAATGGGAAATGGACTGGTACTTCTTTACCTCTACTAAATTTTGAGCACTCAAAAGTCTCATTTGCGCAATCACACACACATTCATACAGTGCTTTTATCTATACCTAATGGACAAGAGGAGGTGAAGACAAGATCTAAGTGCTTTCAGGATTGCCATCTTGGTGTTCTGAAACCAGATGCATCGAGTGAGGGTGGATTTGGCTAAGAAACACAGAGAGCATGCGTGTCCATATGGTAGTAACTTCAAAATCACAAGGTAGGGCCTCTTTAAAGCTCAGCCTGCTTGATCATTCTTTTTGACCGCAATTTATAAAATTACCTCATGTTTTAAACAGCACCTGAAACTATTAACTGAGATGACAAAGCAAGGAAGCTGAGGATGATTAGAAGATATGCTTCACTTTTCCAGGATACTCTGAGTGTCTCTTCTTCACTCACATTTTTTAAAGTGTTTATACACCATTCTGCATTTAATCATTAGTTATTATTAGTTTCTTACTCTCTTCTTCTACTGTCTTTTTTTCCTGTCTTCATGGCAGGTGGGTGCCCCTCCCTGAGCATGGTTTTGCTGGAGGTTTCTTCCTGTTAAAAGGGAGTTTTTCTTTCCCACTGTCACCAACTGCTAGGGAGTCATCTGACTGTTTGTATTTTCCTCTGTATTCGTTTAGGGTCTTTAAGTTACAGTAAAAAGAACTTTGAGGTGAATGTTGTTGCAATTTGGTGTTATTTAAATTAATTAAATTGAAGTAAACTGGATTGCTGAGCTAGAGATGCTAGACTTCATTGTTCCTATAGAGCTCAGAAATCCAATAATGCCATTCCATCTCCTTTGTATTAGTGATTTGACAAAAACGATGGATTAGATCACAGCAAAGTCTGCCAGATTGTCTTTGTTCCACAGAGTGTACAATATCAGTGTACAAACATTGATTATGAAGTGTTAAGTCATTAATATTTCATTAACTGTAGGTGTACACTGCACTGTTGGATGGCTTAAGATTAGAATGGTGACAAATAGAAGCAGCAGAACTGTACCTGTATATCCCCGTCTTGTTTGCCTTGTTTGTCTTTAGAGAGGGTATGTATCCTTTCTTTGTAATTAAATTAGGACAAACCAGCTTATGATTAGGTTACATGTTGCAGCTTTCTCTCAGACTTCTCCTGTCTGAAGAAGGCTGGAGCTGATGAGGAGACTGACTTATGTATCAGGTTATTGATGATGAAGACACACCGTAGCAGTGATAACGGTCTTTGTGAACATCTTATGTAAGCAGTGCTCCCTGGTGTCGATTAATCAATATCCATTACGCCTTGACCAATGTGCTGCAGTACCATTAGACTAGTTAGTCTTAACAACATGCCTTTTGTTTTATAATTTTTACAGTTGACTCAGTTTTCCATTTCTAGCCCATTTCTCTTGAGCCTTCAGGATTTTCTTTACATGATCTAAGTATTACATACTGCATTAGTGATTTGACATTCTCAATGTGCCATTCATATCTAGCTGATTATATGGGTGCTCATTTCAGATCAATACGTTTTATGAAAATGTAAAACTGGGGCCTTACTGAAAGGGGAGCAGAAATAGCACCTCTCCTTACAGTCGATTTTCAGTGGGTTTCCATGGTTACGCGGGAGGAGCCTGATCTATTTTCAAGAGCTGGTAGCTTCTCAATGAGCTGAACTGTAAGTGTGTGACAGGGGATGTGGAGTAAATGCAAATGCATCACAGAGAATACTGTAAAAAAATTAATTAATAAATTAGAGCATGTGCTGCAGCGCCTGCTTCAGAAACTGGATTAGCTTGTTATCTACACCAAAGGGTGTTGGTATGTTTATGTGGCACAATTCATTCTTGATATAGAGCACTAGCACCCTATTATTTCTGCAGTCACGTCCAAGCCAACAAACCAGAAGGATTTCAACCTTCCAACTACAGTATAAACACGAAAGTTAGTCACGTTAGAGAGAAAACAGCGCAAAATATTTCTGTTTCCTGGTATGTTTTGTAGACTGAGTGACCTGTTATTACGCATAACAGGAGGCATATCCACAGCATGCTTTGGGTATAAATGGTAAAAATGCTCTATGGGGACCCGTTTTTCCCATCAAGAGTTCTTCCAGTCACCTTGAAAGCATGTCTAGGGATTGCTGACTTTGGTGGCCTAAAACAGAGAGCATGATGAGGCATTCTAAAACTAGTGTTACATAAAATGATTAGCATCTTTGCTGCCTGCGGTGTCAAAAAGCAGAGGTGACACTCTCCGCTCACCTCTCTAATGAATTTGAAACACCCCAGCAGAGCTACTGCAGCGAGAAACAAGGAGAAATACAGGGCAGATTTAAATGGACTTTTTAGTGCATGGATGTTACTGTGAGGAATGGGCCCATTTGACATAATCCCCGTTTAATCCTGGCCTTATCAGTTTTATGCTGTTTGATCATTTTTCACCTCTCTCCTTCAAATTAACCATCTATCTTTACTTGTGAAGCCAGTTCTCCATGTTAATTTCATTTAGCCCTGTTCTAGTTTGCATTTTCTTCTTCTATGCTCCAATTTCTACTCATCTAAACTGTGCCTCACTTCCTCTCGTCTCCTTAGTGCACATAGTAAGAACGTGACCTGGCATGAAGGGCCTTTGGAGTGCTCCAGAGAGCTTAAGTCCCACTGCATGTGCAACCGTGATAAAGCTGCTACACTGGAGAAGTGTCCTGGATTCTTCCCCTCTCTCTCACGCTCACTGTCAGCTGTCAAGTTGTGAGTGGGAATTAGATAAAGAATGTGAGATGAGGGAATCATGGAAGATGGAAAGTGAGTGAGAAGATGAGCGAAAAAAACTGCACAGGTGCAGCTTTCTACATATGTCATCGGAGCTATTTAGTGCACTTGTTTATACTGTGTCTCTTTTCAAGATTCCAACACCCCAGAAATGAGGGAGTGTTTACTTTGTGACTGAGAAAGCCCCAGATAACTTCTTTCCTCAGTGAAAAAGTTAAAAGAAGCTTTCCACACGGTCAGCAAAAACAGGCTCAGACAATGCCTCGGGCAGTTTGAGAAGCCCTTAAAGTGCAAGAAAATACCAAACACGTCTATAGAGATTGCTGATGAAAGCTCTCTGATAAGCCTGCCAAGCAACATCAGGCTCCAGCAACAAAGAGAAATTCATGATGTCGACGTGAAAAGTTTCCTTCATGAAGGTTTTTTTTTTTGACCAGCAAAATATGCACACATTTGCAAATGAGGACTGATAGTATCAGGTAATGTCCAGCATTTCAAGAAGAGTGCCTACTTATTAAAATGCAGCTGAGCTTCTCATTGACCTTCCTCAAGTCAAAAGATGGAGGACAAACCAGTATGCACCATCTGCAGCAAACTATTGCTTCATGTTCTCATTTTTTAAGTGCTCTTACCCGTTAGCCAGGTTGTCATCATCATCATCTGGCAGGCTCTTCCCTAGAAGGTCAGTGTCACTCAGGTAACCAGACTTGAGATCGGGATCATCAACATCAAGGCTTTCTATGAGCTCAATACGAGACGTGCTGCTGAGTCGACTGGAACAGCGAGCAGGCATTGTATGGGCTGTGTACTGGGAACCACTCTTACTTCCCTGGTATCCGCCACCTGTGGAGGATGGGGCATCGCCAGCTTGAAGACGAGGGCTGGCCTGGCCGTGGCGCCAGGAAAGAGGTGATGAGCGGTTGGATAGGCTGGATATGCTGCGAGCATTGGTTTCATCGCTGTCATAGCCCACATTACTGCTGTCCAGACAGCTAGAGGGACACACAGGGAGAGGGTCAGGGTGGTTTACAAACATGTTCAAAGCAATTGGTTAACAGTCTTGTCCCGAAAGAAACATAAAAGAAAGACTCCAGATGTGCACAGCACACCCAGAAAACGTCTCTCTTTTTTCTTCTGAGTTTCTCTTCAAAGAAACCAACAGTGGCATTCAGTCGCTCTTGACCTAGATACACCAGTTGTGTTGTATCAAGTTCAGGGAGTAAAACTAGAAAAGATGCTGCTTAGGAGAAGACTAAAAGACAGATAAATTGCTATCTCTGTGTTGCATTGCATATAGCATTTCTCTCTCTTCTCTCTGTTTCTTCAATATACTGCTTTTGTGTACCAGGAAGTATTCCAGGATAGCAAGGACTCTGCTTTTCAGGACCACACACAGGAAATATTAATAAAAATTTTCTCTGTTGTAAGTGGGTCAGAATTAGAAACGTCCTCCAAATGGCTAGAAGCGTCTACTGTGTCTGTCGATTACATAACGAGATGAACCGAGTCACCCAAATAAATATTGCAGTGCCCACGACCATGCAAGTATTTTTATCCATTCTTCGTGGATAATTCATCAACCTGAAGGCTGAGAATTTCTGCATTTGTCAGTGACTTTAAAATACTATGATGATGAAAATTACAGGACGGTCCTGCAAGCAGCCATTAAGTCTCAGGTCAGTCATTGATTAACTGAAGCCCTTTTGATAGCTGCCTAAGAAAAATTTAGCGTGCAATCGCACAAGTGATTATTTACTATAATCACAACTCTTTGTTAAACAATATGTTTCAAAGAGGTTGAGCAGAGTAATTACATTAAAACTAAAGAGCTTTAAAGCAGCACTTCTCAACTTTCTGGTATAATAACAGCCATCACTAAACAAGATTAAGTTTATGAGCCAAACAGCCTCTTTAAACATCTAAGACAGAATAGTATCGCCCTGTGATAGTTGGGATAGACTCTGGATGGATAGAACTGAAAACATTAGTGCTAAACTTTTCCATATCTGTTAGTCTCTAACTCCGTCAATTATTTTGCAGGTAGTTTATAATCAGTGCCATGATGCACATGTGGGTGTTTAGAACTAAATCTTTGTTATAGATAAGACATAAAACATTACTTATCCAAGAGAGTTTTAAAATATAGAGGCAACGGGTTTGGTGTTAAAATTATGTAAGAAGAAGGAAGGTAAGAAAATAGGGAAGGGCTGCAGCATTTTTTTTAAACATGTGGAAACATAAATGGAAATGCAGCACATAAGGCAAAAACAGATTGTACAGGTCAATAATGCTGAGGTCTGGACTCTGGGGAGGCTAGTTCATGACTGTATCTTTCTGTTTAGTTATGCTTTTATTTTTTTGGCAGTGTGTTTAGGATCACTGACATGTTGAAAAATGAAGCAATTTCTAATCAGATGCTTTCCAGATGATATTGGATCAAAATCTGGTATTTTATAAGACCAACACCTTTGGGTGAAATGCAGCACTAAACCATGACACAAATGCAATTATCTGTACAGTTATCTGTAGACACTGACTGTTTTATTTCTCCCCTGACCTCCTCCGTACATACTGACAATGATTTGAACTAAAAATCTCCCATTTGTTTTCATCACTCAATGTGACCTGTTGCCACTGATTTTCAGTCGAGTATTTGTGTAATTTGTTATCCCTCAGCCCTTTCTCATTGTTTCCCTTGCTGAAAAATAACTTGAGAAGATTTTTGGTAACACTTTAGCAAACACTCGCTGGATCAACTGAAGGTCAGTCTAATCTCTCTAAGTCTTATCTCAGGTTTTTTTTTTGTTTCTCTGCTGTAGATAGTTTTTTAGGCCTGCCACTTCTTCTTTTGTCCTCAAAACTGCACACCATGCAGATATATGCCACCAAGGATAACCTTCTTGGTGCAATAAACCAATTTTCTGTTATCTTGTTACCAAGTGGCAACACTGTAAGCAGCCACAATGCAACTGATTACACATGATTATGTTATGTATCAATCCAGCAGGGTCTAAGTGTGTTTTTTTTCACTTTAAACTGACTTTAATAAATGGATTTATCTCATAATTTTATCAATACATGTATATATATATATACACTTTACTTACCTATGGCTCATCTGGGAGCCCCGCAGACTTGTCATTGTATCTTCTAAATTCTGGCGTAGGTCAAGGACATTCTGCACAGTCCGCTTCCTCTGGGACTCGGGGTCTGTGGGTGAATGATGCAGAAGCAAAGGTTATAAAACATTTAGACGATCACAATAAAAGCCAGACACACGGTGTTCTGAGCTTAGTTTTTAATGTTGAGTCATCTCTATATGCACGTTCTTCCTTTTATTATTTGTATTTTGACTACTGTGACCTGCATCCTCTGTGTAAGAACACCTCCCATGCTTGTTCACATCATTAAGCAGACAAATGTTACTCCATAGGCAGCTTCACCATGGCAACCCCTGCTCTACCCCCCACTGAACTGATGTGGTGCAGCCTAAAAATGCACCATTGGAAGGCTGCCATTGACTTCGACCTGCCGCCAGGGGGATTCATGCCACACCAGGATCGCTTTTACTTTCTTTCTAGAGATTTTCTGATCTGCTGAGCATTACCTCAGAGTCACTCGGTTCAAGTAATACAGCTAACTATAAGCTGAACTGCAGCCAGAACAGTTTCAGTGAAGGTCAGCTTATTTGGACTATACTCTGTGCACTGCAAAATATAGAGTCAGTGGGTTGTGACCGTGTCAAATCAATATTACAGTACAATTAGGAGCGCTGTTGTGGTAGCTGTAACAAACGAGAGAAACCCCCTGTCACACAAATGCAGGAAGTTGGGATTTTCCCCAGCAATGTTGAGGCAAAAACCCTCAGGCAGAAAGAAATTAATATTCACTGTATTAGCTGCAAAAGCTGAAGCAGAGGCGAGGATGTCAGGGGACCAAAAGACAAATCATATGCTCGTCTCATAAGTAGATATTGAACTAAATCAGCAGAGCACACAGAGAGTGAATTCTAAGCCTCAATTTGAGTTTACAAATTGAAATGCACTATTGTGATTTTTGCAAGTCAAACTAAAGCCTTGTTTACTTTGCCACTCTGAAAAAACACTGAGCTTTCTGAATGGTGTGTTCTTCGGGGTTCTATAATATACAGTAGCTACATATGTTATCTGCAAAAAAAGGACAACAACTAATTTATAAGCACACAAGAGCTGGTCCAGAATGTCCAGAATAAAATATTGATTTCATCTTTAGTGCTATTCTGACAGAAAACTGTCTGGCTCTGGTAGCATTTTTTGAGTAAAGATTGCAGTGCAGCTGGAATGCTACAGTACAAACTGCAGCTAAAGTCAGCCAAGAATTCACTCCATTGTTCCCCATATAAAAGATACTCAGCAGTTCTTGCTATTGCCAAAAGAAAATAAAAACATTTTGGACACTTTTGAACACTCATTATTTTTCATTTTATTACATGCATGTAATCATCTTCTTGCACAATTGCTAATCATTGAGCGTTTATAATCTAAAACATTGCTTTGAGAGATTCTTAGCAGATTAGACATGGATTTCAAATAAAAATGGTATATAGTCAACATCCTGTTCTTTATCTGTTTGTAGTCTACTGGCCTTCTTCTAAACACTATACTCTGGGAAAAGCATAGGTTTCACGTGACCCCAAATAGTTTCAATATATTTGATATTATCAGAAAGAAGATTAATATCTTGAAATTGCAATGCTAACACAAATATGTCCTTAATATGAGATCAGCAGAGGTGTCCACTGAGCAATGAATCTTTTTGTCATATTGCATTCTTATTCAATCTTCTCATTTCCTTTGCGATTAATTCTGGAGGAAACACTTCAGCAGGAATGCTAGACACAAAGTGCCCATGTGAATCACATCTGCTGTGAGTATTAGATTTATGTGTTGTGTTCTTGTTTAGTAGTGGTGTGGTACCCTGCATTGCAGTTGGATGGAAAAAGGGAAACTCAGACAGAATACTGAAGCAGATCTGAAATGGGAAAGTCCTATGAATGATGCAACATCTCAGGAGATACTCCATATACTCACAATGTAGGAAAAGATAAAAGTTTGGAAAGACTCATTCTAAAATAGCTAGAGGTCCTCAGTAATTAACCTTACAAACACTGGTAGATTAACAATAAAGGAACCGCATGTTGCACCAAGTCACCAAGAAATACAACAGCAGGGTCTTGCAGTCTTCTTCAACCTCCACATTTCACTTTTATGCCTGTTCAGGGGGTTAAATTTCACATGGAAATATAAGAACTGGACAGAAAGAGGAAAAAAAGGTTTTTGCTTTAGGGCAAAAAGGAAGGACAGGATCTTTTTGCAGCTCACATGAACCTTCTTATTTCAAAGGCAGATGTAGTAGATGACAAC